TTTTTTTTTTTTTTTTTTTTCCAGCAGCAAGCATCTAAAGTTGAGAAGGTGTTTTTTACCACTGCAGTACCAGTAGCCAGTAGCACAGGTATGTAATTGTGTGTGTTAACTTTAAAAGAAAGTCAACTCTCTGGGCCCCTTGAGGCACAGCTCATTGTTGCTTTGCCCCAGTTTTGAAAACCTCGAATTTGTCAGATTGTATTGTTTGTTTATTAGAGTATTTCACCTTCTCACAGCTATTGGAAGTTAGCGGGTTTATGGCATAAATACCACAGTTAACATTCCTTAAGGGGTCACCGTTCTTTCCTTTCAGATATAGCTTTTAAATGTAACCAGAAGAAAGTCTGACTCACAGTGAATGCCAAAGAGGGCAGCTGTTAATTCACTGGACTCTTTTCTAGTTACAGTAACGAAGAAGTAGCTTCTGGGTCAGAGACTCATACAGAGCGAAAAGTTCCTTTTTCTCAAGCTATTTTATAGATTAAGAAACGGGGGCCCCAAACGACTAACTGACCCCTCCAAAGTCATAAGTGAGTTTGTGGCAGAGCCAAAGCACTAGTTCTCAGGCCTCCTGACTCGCACTCTGTTCTCCTGCCCCCGGGTCTCTAGCTTTTTTGAGACACACAGAGCCTGTCTCATCTCAGTGTGCATGTGCACAGCACACATACCTGCACCAAAGAGCGGGAGCGTGGGCGCGCACGCAAGGCTGACAGTGTACAGGGGTGCTCCCCCCACCTACTGTGTGTCTGAGACTGGGGGTGCAAGCACGAGCAGGAGGCCCCGGTGGAGCTTGGTCTCGGGCAGGCGGGACTCAAGCCCCAAGTCCCGCACAGTGTGGAGAGCAGTGCGTAGGGGGGCAGCAGCTCTGTGCACGTAGATAGGAAGCTCGTGTGCCAGCCGGCCTCGGGCCAGCCCCGAGCGGAAGCCTGCTGGAATCACAGCCTGGCAGCCTGGCTGTGCGCTGGGTCTTCAGAAATAAGAGTAAGTTCTCTGGAAAAACAGCGCGGTCTGGGGAGTTCAGGCAGAAGGAAGAGCGCAAAGACCCGGAGGTTTGAAGAACATGTCAGAAAAAAGGGAGGCATCTGCTGTAGCTGGCGTGGAGGGTATAGGGGGGTTCGAACAGCCAGAAATGAGGCTGCAAAGACAGGGTCATCTAGATGGTGTGTGTGGCCAAGGAAAAGGGACTTTGCCTTGCAGGGGATGGGGAGTGTCAGGCAGAACAAAGTCTGGAGCATGGCATCCTCCCTTGCCGCCACTCCTGCTTCCGTGGCACTCAGTGCTCACCCACTCCGTATCCCCGTCCGTCACGCCCCTGCCCTGCGGCTACTGGAGGAGCAGTCTCTCTTGCCTCTCTCGCAGGGAGCTCTGTACAGCAGATCGGCCTCAGTGTTCCCGTGATCATCATCAAGCAAGAGGAGGCGTGTCAGTGTCAGTGCGCGTGCCGGGACTCTGCCAAGGAGCGGGCGGCAGGCAGGAGGAAGGGCTGTTTTTCCCCATCCCCGGCAGAGCCGAGCCCCCAGCCTCCTGACGGGCCCAGCCTGAAGCTACCGTCGCAGACTTTTCCCTCACGTCCCGGTCCCTTGTCGTCCTCCTCCGCTGTACCCTCTTCCTGTGAGCAAGGCAGACAAGCAGAGACTCCTTCAGACCCTCAGACAGAAACGTTAAGTGCCATGGATATGTCAGAGTTTTTGTCCCTCCAGAGCCTGGACACCCCGTCCAATCTGATTCCCATCGAAGCACTACTGCAGGGGGAGGAGGAGATGGGGCTGACCAGCTTCTCCAAGTGAAAGGGCCGCGTGCACTCACCTCTAGGAAAAGAGGGGGAGCGGAAGCGTAAGGTGCGGTGCCTGCCATCGTGGGGGGTCAGCAGTTCGAAGGATGAAGAAATCTACTGTTTGAAATCCTCACCTTTCAGACGTATTTTCTTTAGTCATATCCCAGGAGCATCCATTTTAAGGAACTGATCTTTGGAAAAAAACAAAAACAAAAAAAAAAACAAAACAAAAAAATGCTAAGTTATAAATGAACTGTTTGGCTGCACTGTATGTCACTTTTGCTTATTGTCATGTGAACTTGGAAATTAAGGTTACTCGTATGCATAAACATTCGAAATGAAAGGGTGTGGCTTCCATCCGTGTGAGGCTGCCCATCACTGGCACTGGGGACTTTGTGGTCTGGGCAGTAGTGTTCAGCTTGGCGGGCGTTGCTCCTCCCCGTGCGTCTTTTGAGTCTGAGGCTGAAGCTCGCGAGGAAGGCGAGACCCTCGCTCCATCAGAGGGGGGAGTGGCAAAGGCAGAGCAGACAGCTGCGAGCTGGACAGGGGTCGGGCCAGGTGGTCCTGTTGTTTGATCTTGGTGTCCGCGGAGCTCAGGGTGATGGCAGGTGGCGTCCTGCAGCCAGCTACAGCACAATGGGTAGTAAAAGCCTGGCCTGAGGCTGTGTCAGTGATGTCCCGTCTGCCGCGGCCCCAGGCGAGCTGGTGACCGCTATCTGTCCCCGCCGTTTGCGGAGCTGGCTCCGGCAACAGTGTCACGGCGTTTTTGCCTTCCCTGTTCTTCCTATCTCTTGGTTGGTTGCCAGGCCCTGCAGATCGCAGCGGACTTTCCTTGGGGAACATCCCTGTTTTGTCCTTGAGTGGACGTGTGGCTTGTGGCCAGTTGCCGGCTGGTGGTCTGCCTTCCTTTAATGGTTTTCTCTTCCTCAGAGCAGAAGAGCTGCATTTTGCTTATCAGAAGGAAGTCATTGTTGGTGTTTTTTGAGGCGGCATGTAATTGGCAGGCCAGGTGTCCTGGTTCCAGGTTCTAGCCAGGCTTTTGCTTGCCTCTCCCATCTCCACCTCTCACCCTCTGGATTTTGCATACAGTCTAGTACAGTGCAAAGAAGGATGTGACTTGCTCAGCTTAGTCACGTGATTTCTAAACAAATACACAAAAGCAAACAAAAACCACAAAACGATGATCTTCTACTCAGGGTAAAACAAAACAAAACAAAACAAACAAAAAAAAAATCCCCCTTCCACCAAAAAGCCTGAAATGTTGCAATAAGTTCTCTCATTTGGAATGTTTCATTAAGTTGTGTTATGGGGAAAAAATTTTTTTTGATTTGTGTATAGAACTATATCCATCTGTCTGCCTTTGGCTCCAAGTCATTGCCTCTTAAAATAAAACCTAAAATACAATTCACACTAAAATGGAAAGTTTCTCTCAACCGGCTATATTAATGTAGTCATGAGTGCTCACCGAGCCTCACTGAGCTCAGAAATGAGGCCTGGCCCACGGTCTGGACTAGGCCTCAGCCTCCAAGAGCCCCCTTCCCTGCTTGAGCGGGGAACAGGGGTCCACAAACAGGACTGCTCTTCTGAGTCGACAATGTCAGGCAGAAAGCAGCCATAATTTTGCCTTCCTTTACCATTACCTAATGTAAAGAGATCTGCATGTGTCACTCTTCTGTTCTCTGAGCTATTTATTACTCAGGGCCAGCCAAGACAGTATCCGGAGCTGATCATTTATCTGGGAGCCAGAGGCCCTGCCTTTGACAGAATTTCAGGGACACAGTTGGACAAGAGGGCAGAGGTAGTCAGTGTTGTTACTGCCACGAGGAGAAAAGGGCTTTACCCGCAGGCAGCTGGTGGCTTCTCATTCTAGGAGTCTAGGCAGGAGAATCAATTTCTTTTTGACCTTCTGCACTCCCCTCCCAAAAAGCTGGTGGGTTCTCAGCAGAAGTTGATAAGGCAGGAGGCATCTTCTGTTTACCACAGTGGGTTAATCTTCCTGGGAAACCAGTTGCTGAGCATGGTTTGTCCTTGGCCATCTCCGGGTCTCACACCCAGGGGCAGCTCTGAGGCAGGAGCCGCGCTGTTTTCTCTACAGCTTCTGACAGAACGACATGATGGGGTCCCAAAGGTAGCTCTGTCGGAGGGCACAAATGACCTCCCCAACATATCCATCCGAGGGGCACCCGAGATTCGGTTCCCTGGGAGCTGAAGTGGGAAACAGGAACCCAGAGAAAGCCATTGGAAGTGTCCGTGGTTTCGTTACTGCTTCTCTCGAGTTAATCAGGGCTGTACTCCTGTTGGGCATACCTAGGGTCAGTGGCTTTTCTGCTCTCCAAAGATTGGGGGGTGATGAAGCAGCATCATAACAACAGTATTTAGGCTGACAGATTTTTCTAGTTGAAGTATCTGCCTTTTGAGGGTGACTCAAAATGACAAGCGGGACTGTCCGAGCCAAGTAGCTTTTGAAAAATCAGGAATGTGCTTAAAACGCCAGTGAGTGGTTGTGAAGAGCAGGTTCGCCCACAGGCCAGGCCGTCTTCCCTTCCTCTTCCTGCGTTCTTCCCCCCACCCCATCCCCTCCCGCAAGCCTGGCCTCTTGTGCCAGGGATCTGGGAGGAGAGCGGGCCGCCGGCAAAAGTGGAGCTAGAACGGGCCTTCACGAAGAGTGCGTTTTCCAAACCCAGGCACGAACCTGTGGCGAGGTTAGGGAAGGGCTGCAGACTTCGGGCAGGTGAAACCAAGCTTTCTTTCTTCCCCTGGTAAGCTTGGCCATTGCCACCGTGTAGATGGATTCTTCCAGCTCCCACTAGCACATCTCCAGTTCCACTGCCCTTTGCAGGGTGTGGTCAGCACCAAGGACTGGAGTTCATGGACCTAGGAGGGGGTGGGAACCCGGCTGGCACCCCCAAACTGCCTTAGCAGGGGGGTGGGACATTGAGGGAGGATGGCCCTGCCTCTCTTGGCAGGGTCTGGCAGCCTTGTGGGGCATCACCAGTTTGGTGACACGAGTTGGTGTCATTTATTCAATTCCACCCCTTCCCCCTTAGAAGGAGATCATGGTACAAAGCCCAGGAGGGGCCTTAAGGTGTGAAGACGTCTCTGGGTAGAAGCCAGGGACTTGTCTCCCCCACCTCTGGGAAAGTCAATAGATTGGGGTTTTACCTTCAGGGTCAAGGCAGTGGATTGATGGGGATAATGGAGGGTGGGTGGGTTTTCCTGAGAGACTTTGTATAATGCTGAATGTGTCCAGAGGGATGAGTTTGCAGAACCTCATATTGGTATATTAAAGAAATAATAAAATAAAAAAGCACTTTAGGTTATTTTATCTTTAACCCAATTGCTGCAATTTCTTTTGTGTATATATATATATACATATATATACTTTCCACAAAGTTTTATTTTTTGCTCAGAATAAAAAGTTAAATTGAGGTGTGAAAAGAAAAGCACTTACCTTGGTGCAATATGTGTAGCTTGACGGTCGTTGTCCCATGTGGCCCTGGCCCGGCCGCGTTTTTCCGCTCGATCAGCCCTGTACTGTGAGGCTGTCTATAGGGAAACACTATTATGCACTCTCAGCAACTGCTCTATCTATGCAAGCCTTCCCTGTGTGCCCGAGGGCGCCCCCTCAGGCTCTCTGAAGAACTGCGGGTCCTGTTTTCCTTTGCTGACTTGAGGCCCCGTTTTCATCACTTCTCGGTCCCTTGCCATCTTGCCCCGCCTTCACCATTACAAAGTGATGCCTGAAAGGAAGGAACAGGTTGTTCCTAGGTAGAACCTGGCACCTTCTAGACTTTTATATCTGTAATCATGTTTCGTTGTCTTCAATCTTAGAGACTTCTCCGGAGTCACTGAAACCATTGGTTTGTGGAAGTGCAACAGTATTGCTAGCGTTTACATTTTCCAATCTGAACTATGTTGGGGAGGTGGTGGTGGTAGTGGGGGAGCGGGCAACACGAGCCATTTCCCTACTGCTCCCCTCACCGCCCGCCCATGTTGGCTCTCTAAGAAAAAAGGTCTCCAGCCTTCATTAAATCCAGTAAACAAAGCTGTTACTGATCTGCTTTATCGACTTCTCTTCTTTTCCCCACATTCCCCTCCTGTTCCCCCGAGCCCCCATTTTATCTTCAATTCTCAGGCTACTGTAGAATAGAGAAGTTTTGAAATACACTTCAGCCAAAGCAGAAGGATTTCCACAGATCAGTATGCAAATGGTTCTGTGACACAGATGGGAAATTGTCCATTCCCTAATACCGGGTGGCAGGGCGGGAGGCGACAAAGCTGAATCTTGCATATTTCTGGTTGGTAGTCAGTTTAGCCTGTTTCCTCTTGCATATTTTGGGGGGGACAGGGAGAGGGTCCCATGTTTCCTCTCATGCCCTTTGGGGAAGCTGATGATCACTGTTTGGGCATTTCTCACTGTTACTCCTGTTCCAGAGGTTCTCCTCAGTCTGCACTGAAAAATGCAAATTAAACTGGATCTTATGTCAGTGTGTACATAGTACAAGCTTTTTTACTGGAAGCAAAGTTTAAAACCACACACTGCCCTTTTGGTGGTGTGCCTGCTGGGCCAAAAATTGGGTGATAATGTAGTGTCACTTTCTCAGCTCAATGCAGTTTCTACTCTTTTTCTTATGGGAAAATTTTTCATAAAACCTTTTTTCACCAAAACCCAGGGGTGTTTTTTGCAATATCCTCGTTATCCTCATAGTGGTGCCAAGTCAGAGGCCTCTCTTGCCCTTCTCCCATGTCCTTATGCCTCCCCAGGGCGCTGTTTGATTCAACAGTCTACATCCTTTGCTGTGTTTTAGGAGAATGTGGGGGTGGGGGGTCGGAGTTCAAGGTGGCTGTTCCCTTTCCCTGTGAACTCCTCCTAGTCCCTTTTGGGGAAGGTGGCTGGAAATAGGTTTTTGCTGAATCTCTGGCTCCCATCTCCTGGCCAGGAAAGGCAAGACCCACAGAGAGCCTTCTTTTTTGACACACACCAGTCATTGGCCGGAGGTCTTGGTGACAGTTTTTAAAATCTCAAATGGTTTTATTTGGATTGTGTAAAAGCCTATCAAATTTATTTAAGGGTGAAACATGGGAACAACGGACTTACACTGAGCGATATGAAAACGTTACAGGTTCAGTACTTCCAAAGGAAGAAACCTCCAAACCCAAAAAAGAGTAAATATGAATTTGTATTTTTGAAGAATGTGAAATAATGGTGTTTGCTTAATTGCTCATTTTGTATAAACTTAATATTGTACTTTAAGATATCTGCTAAGAAGTGAAAATTTAACTTTTTGGAATTGAGAAAGCAATATTAAATACTAATGAAATCCTAATTAAATGCTTATTTAAATCTGGTAGTATCTGTGGCCTTTCTTCCCAACATTACCCATGGTTGACAATTTTCAACCACTTCCCCCCTCCCCAGCTGAGTCTCAGGGGACAGAAAGGAAAGGTCGGTCACCAGGAGAGTCTGCAGGTTTCCTTTTAATCAAGGCTCTGCTAAAAGTGTTTGGTGGGGCTAGGAGCCCCCAAAGCATGAAATGGACATGTAACACCACCTGGATCCCCCAAAGCAGGTCAGACCACTCTGGAGAGCACTGCTGGTCTTGCCCAAATCCGGGTCATCAGACTGGGTATTCCTTGGCTACATTTCAAAGCTCAGCACTGCCTTCAGCCAGGATGAAGTGGGAGTGAAACCCAGCTGCTAGCAGAGCGGCCACCCCAGGCCGAGAGCCAAGTACCAGCCACTGCTGGTGAAGACTGGCCCCTTTATTGAAGGGGGTTGTTCAGAGTCCAGCCACCAGCCCGGGAGGGAGAGAAGTCAGGGCGCCCATCAGGGATGGTCAGGGCTCCGCAGCTCCATCGCCAGCATCCTTTGGAAAGCCACCTCGGGCGGAGACAGCTGGCTGGGGAGGCGCTCCGGCTTTGGCTGAGACGTTCTGGTTGGAACAGAAAGGAAAAGTGAGGCTGGGAGGAAAGGCCTTGGATTAGGCCCCGCAAGGATATGGCCACTTGGCATTCGGCTAGCACTTAACTTTTTCAAAGCCTCTCGCCCAGATGAAAGGAGGCTGGGGGTAAGGCGGTGGGGACACTCTTCCACCCTCCAGGGGAAGCTAGGGCTTAGCAAGTCCAGCCACGGGGCAGTCCCCACCTCCCAGGCCCAGCCCGGGGTGGGCACTGACCCCGCCACCAGCCGGCTCCGGGCGCCGGCGGCCCAGCTGCCGCAGCATCTCCTCGCAGGCGGCGATGGTGTCCAGGAGCTGCCGCTGCCGCTGCTCCACCGCGTCCAGCAGCTGCTGGGCGCGCTCATCCCGGGGCGGCTGCGGGGGTGGCCTCCCGCCGAGCCCCAGCCCCGCCTTCCCACGGTCCACGCCGGCAGCCTCCCTGCCCGGGAGAGAGCGACAGACACACGGTCAGGGCCGGCGCTCGCGCGGGGTCCGAGCCCCTTCCCCCCGCCCCGACGGGCCCCCTCTCACCCCCGTGACCAGTCTGAGCCCGGGCCCCATTCCATCTCCG